TTACCAAACAATAAGTTATCCTAATCCTGATGTGCCCTGGCTGGAGGCTGCGTCGCGACTGTCCGCTCGGCTGAGGCCTCGCGTCCAGCCGCGCCAGCATTCTGCAGAGTTTGCACTTTGGCGGTCAGTCGCCCTTCGCTTGCCTACAACATCACGCAAGTCCAAAAAATTGACGCCCCCGTCAATATAATTACTCTTGATAATAAGGTGAAGGTAAGAATCTCACATATCATAAACAAATAATGGGATCCTACATGGAACATTTCTTGAAGTTTTAAAAGTCTTGCAGATCAGATTTGGGATAGGACCATACAAAAATCATAATGCCAAAAAAAGTTTTAAAAATCGCAAACAAAGACAAAACATAAAAAGTCAAAAGAAATATTTGCCGAAAGAAAACAAAGTACTATCAAAACAAGTCACAATAATTTCACATGAGCGTCAAAATTCAAGTCAAGGTAAAAATTTACAAGTCTTCTCAAAGAAGTCCATTTAAAATTCACAAATATGCCAGCACAAAACCTAAATTTATGAAAGGTTTGCCAAGTTTTTCGAAATCTCCAAAACAATAAAGGCAAACAACGAACAGGAAAATGATTGGTCCTCAACGCACCATGAGCAAGTCATACTTGCAGATGAAATTGACTTTCGATCATACATCACAACATACACACTGCAAACTTCATTGTACACTTCATTGCACACGTTAAGTGCACACTTTATAGCACTTTTTCATTGCACTTTTCAATGATCACTTAGACTTTTCACTTTTTAGAACACACTAGTGGCCACTTTCGTCTTGATATTCAACTCGAAAGTGTTCTTCCTGGCACGCCGTTTGATAACCAAGCGCTCCTGCGCTTACGGTCACCGATGGTGACACACTCGCGGTGCGCAGTGTCTAGTGCAGAGTGCTGACATAGCATCAGCTGGTCTCGGGGCACACTACATTGCCAGCCCCAGGTCATCGCTCCAGTAAAGTGCGATAAGGTTTGCAGACATCATCCTTCCACATCATGGGCATCATAAACATATGGACATCTGGACAGGTCGTTTGGCATTTTGGTCATTGAAAGTTACTGAAAAACTCGAAAGGTGATTAGTTATTTGAAACATGATTTCTGGCTTAATTTTTCCTCTAATCCTTGACATTGTGACTATTATTGCTTTAAACATTTTATAATAGTTTTACGTCGGATACCAATCTACATTACGTCACATACAACATTGAAAATAGTGGTCACTTAGTTATTTATCTTTTAAAATTGAACAAAACAAGTTAACTATTTTTACGTACCGACGGAGTCAACGACGAGCACACCAGCCAGGCAGATTCTTCATTTCAATTTTTAGAAACACACTTTGACCACCTAATTAACATTCCACACAACACCCTTTCTACAGCAAATCAGACTTTCTAATTTATTATTTTTAGCAAAGATTTAAAATTTC